GGGAGAGGGGGGGCTGGCACGGGGCACCGCTGACCCTCCTCCCCCCGCAGAGCCAGCGATGACCCCGAGAAAACCAACACCACTTACCTGGATGACTCGCAGCCAGCCCAGGGTGAGTGCCACGGCGGGGAACCCTGGGTGCAGCGAGTTTGCTAGGCCTCAGCTGGGGAAGCTGGCCTGTGCCATGGGAGGGGGTACCCGGGTTGCTGATCACCCCCCACCCCCTCCACAGATATCACCATCAAGGTGGAGGACCCCGACTGCCTGTCGTCCTCCAGCTACCGGGATGCGGAGAGCGAGCGGTTCCTCTCCTCCAGCTCCTCCACCGCCCGCCGCGTCTCCTTCAACGAGGCCGCCCTCTTTGAGCAGAGCAAGAAGACCCAGGAGAAGGGGAGGAGGTGAAGCTCTGGCCTGGGGGGAGGGACTTTGGGGGGGGGCACCAGGGCTGCCCCTCCTAACCCAGTGTCCCCCGCAGGTACACGCTGACGGAGGGGGATTTCCACCACCTGAAGAACGCCCGCCTGACCCACCTGCACCTCCCGCCGCCCGCCCTCAAGATCGTCACCATCCACGAGTGCGAGTCCAGCGAGAACAGCCTGGCCATGACCCCCCGCCTGCCCCCCCCCAAGCCCGGCCTCGCCATCTTCCAGGTGAGCCCCCAGCACCCCGGGGGACACAGTGGGGGGGTGTCCAGGCGTCCTGCAGCACCCCAGGGAGACACCGCTGGCCCCGGGGTGGGAGCCTCAGTGCGTTGCTGGATGTGGGGATGGGAGGTCTTGGGGTGAGGGGGGGCCCCTCCTGGTTCCTGACCCTCATACGAAGCCCCCTGAGCACGCTCTGCCTTGCAGCCCCCCGGGGGGGCCCTGCCCCAGCCAGCGCTCCCCAGCCACGCCGTGTGCCCCAGCTCTGCCCTGCCCGGGGACACCTACAACTCCACCGTGGACACCAGCTTCACCGAGGCCAGTCCGTCCGCCTCCTCCGACTCCGGGGAGGGCCCCTCGGTGAGTGCCGGGGCCGGGGGGGCGCCAGGACCAGGCAGGGGAAGGGGGTCTCCAGCCTTGGCAGCCCCAGAGGGATCCTGTCCCTGCCCCGATCCCCCAGCACAGGGATGGCCCTTGGGGGGCTGCTGGCTGTGCCAGGGCTCTGGGGAGCAGCCAGATGTGGGCATCCAGCTCTGCCCCCCCCACCCCGTCCCCCACCCCCCCGGGGGACATT